GGTTGCCCTCGCCGCAGTCCTCCAGTATGATGTGGGTCTGGGAGGGAGGGGAGGGACCAGGGGGGACAGGGGGACAGTGGGGGGGTTCGGGATGGGGAGTCATTCGGGACAATAGGAGGTACAGAGGGGACATCCCGGGGAGGGATTGGGGACAGCAGGGAGGGTAGGGGCAGATCCCAGGGGGAGGTTGGGGACAGTGAGGGGTACAGAGGGGACATTGTGGGGCAATAGGAGGTACAGAGGGGACATCCCGGGGAGGGATTGGGGACAGCAGGGAGGGTAGGGGCAGATCCCAGGGGGAGGTTGGGGACAGTGAGGGGTACAGAGGGGACATTGTGGGGAGGGATCGGGGACAACAGCGGGTACTGGAGACATCCCAGGGAGGGCCTGGGGACAGGGGGGGGGGGGGTACAGAGGGGACATCCCAGGGAGGCACGAGGGACAGTGCGGCATACTGGGGGGACATCCCAGGGAGGGATTGGGGATGGGGGTGCGGTACAGAGGGGACATCCCAGGGAGGGACTGGGGACAGCAGGGTGGGCACAGAGGCTTGGGCAGCAGGACATGCCAGGGAGCAACTGGGGACAGCAGCCCAGGGGGGTACTGGGGACAGTGGGGGGGACTGGAGGGACAACCTGAGGAGGGAGCAGGGACAGCGGGGGAGGCAGGGGGGACATCCCACAGAGACACTAGGGACAGCGGGGAGGGCAGGGGTTATGTCCCAGGGAGGGGTTGGGGACACTGGGGACAGGCTAAGGACCGCGGGGCCAGAGCACAGCAGTGGCAGCGGGTCCCCCGGGCTGGGGGTACCCACACGTGCCCTGGCCCAGCCGTGGGGACGTGCCCACCCTGGGTCACCGCAGCGATGTCCCCAGCTCAGCCGCGTCCCCCCTACCTGCGCCTGCACCAGGGTGTCCCCGTAGAGCACCAGCCCCAGGCCCCCCCCGGGCAGCGCCAGGCTCAGGCTCAGGGCAACCGGGCTCAGCTTGTCCTTGAAGTCGGCCTCGTCCTGGGGGCACCCATGGGCAGAGCACCCCAGCAGGCACGCGGGGTGCCTGCCCCCCACCCTACCCCGGGGCCCCTACCCACCCAGGCTGGGGACACCACTGTCCTCATCCCTGTCCCCCAACCTACTGGGGCTGCAGATGCCGCTGTCCCCACCCCTGTCCCCATCCCAGCTGGAGGTGCTACTGTCCCCATCCCTGTCCCCCAACCTCCTGGGGCTGCGGATGCCGCTGTCCCCATCCCTGTCCCCATCCCAGCTGGAGAACCCCGGGGCCCCTACCCACCCAGGCTGGGGACACCACTGTCCTCATCCCTGTCCCCCAACCTACTGGGGCTGCAGATGCCGCTGTCCCCACCCCTGTCCCCATCCCAGCTGGAGGTGCTACTGTCCCCATCCCTGTCCCCCAACCTCCTGGGGCTGCGGATGCCGCTGTCCCCATCCCTGTCCCCATCCCAGCTGGAGATGGTAATGGTACTGTCCCCATCCCTGTCCCCCAACCTCCTGGGGCTGGGGATGCCACTGTCCCCATCCCTGTCCCCCAACCTCCTGGGGCTAGGGATGCCGCTGTCCCCACCCATGCCAGCCCACGCTGGCACCGTCCCCATACCTGCAGGTAGGCGGTGAGGTTGTGGCACAGGGGGGGTGTCCCCGGGGCCAGTGCCAGCGCCCTGTGCCAGGACGACTGGTGGCCCTGCAGCAGCATGACCCTCCGGGAAAGCTTGGGCTTCAGCCGGTCCAGCTGCAGCTCGGCGTCGAGGCCTGGCAGGGCACAGCGGATAGAGGGGGGCATGGCAGTGGTGCCAGCCCTGGTGACACCCCGGCAGTGCCCCTTGTCCCTCCCTGGGTGATGCTGGCACTCACGGATGCTCTGGGGGATGCGCTGGCCCATCACGCTGACGCACAGCACCACGGGGAAGCTGCAAGGGGGACAGCACCCAGGGGTGCTCAGGGACCTGCCACCATCCCCGGGGCGATGTCCCCACACTGGTGGTGTCCCCACGGCAGTGTCCCCACGGCGGCGTCCCCACCACATGGCTCACCAGCTGACATGGGCGCCGGAGCCGGGCAGGACACATGCCAGGATCTTGGGGTTCAGCCCATCAGGGACACTCAGCTGGGTCCGGGCCACCACCACGGGCTGTCCCCTGGGACACGGGGACAGAGCTGAGGTGCCAGGGGACCCGGGCAGGGACCTCCCCAGGCCGTGCTGCCACCGGAGCCGGTGGGACAGGCACTCACCGGTACACGGCCACCTTGGCCGCCCCGTAAGCCCCCACCAGCAGATCTGTGAGGACAAGCAGGGGGTCGGTGAGGGGGTTGGTGCCGCCGGGGTGGCACGGCGGGGGCCACGCGGCGGGGCCATACCTGGGTAACCATTGCCATCCAGGTCAGTGGCACCGCGCAGGGCGAAGCCGAAGGCGGCTGGGCCGGGGAAGGGGCTGTCGAGGCATTGGGTGGGCATCGGCATCAAACCCTCGCTCTGCCCGCGGAAGATGAAGACCTGCCCGCTGCCACTGTCACCCCCCAACGGGGCACCCACGGCCACATCTGGGGACACGG